ATGTCCAACCCACGCTCCTACTGTAGTCAACGTAGCCTATCCCGTGTTCAAAGTCATTCACACTCGCCCATAGCCTACCCACACCCAACCCATACTCAACCCACGATCCACCCATGCCATTTCACACCCACACAAAGCCCACACTTCACCCAACCCACACTCCACACACAAACCTGTCCGCACTCCACCCACACCGTACCCACACCCCAATCCACACTCCGCCGCATCCACCCACAACCGACCCACCTCCCCGCCCCCCAGGAACACGTCCACAACGACCCCACCTCCCCCCCAGCCCCGCCCCCAGCAACACGTCCTTCAGCCCCGCAAAAGTGTCCCCCAGGATGCCTCGTCGTGGCGTTGGAAAGTTTATTACCTCTCCTGCAGGCGACGAAGCAGAAGTAAAAGTCCTGCGGTTCTGTTTATTGAAAGCAATGGCCGGGGAGAACCGCAGAGACACACCCCGAGCGGTGGTCACTTTTTTTTAAGGTCTTTCTTCTCCTTCTCTCTCTCTCTCTCCCCTCTTTTCTTTTTTTTTAAGAGCTTCTTCCTTCCCGGTCAGTGATTTATTGGCCTGCCTCCTGGACGCTTCTTCAAGACGCGCGCGGATGCAGATGGATGGAGATAAGGTCGACGTCTCACTGTAACACTGGGCAGAATTGACACTTATTTTACGTGTCTCCAGCATCCACCCGCGCCGGAGATGATAGGATCTCGGGATGCTGCCTCTCTCTCTCCTCTCTCGCTTCTTAAATCATCACGCGTTCCTTAAAGATCTTGAGCTATCTTTCTCCACTCTCCATCCAAGGTTATTAAAGATCTGATTGGAAAAGTTGTCTCTCTATTACCTTCTTCGGATCGGCAGCAGATGTAGGCAAGGTGGGTTGGCATTCTGGGCTTCATTGGGTATCGGGGAGGGAGGGGAGGGGGGAACGGGGGGAGAGGGAGGGAAGAGAGGAGAGGGAGGAGTGGGAAAGGAGGTAGGGAGAGGGAGGGAAGGAGAGGAGGGAAGGGGTCAAGTGGGAGGAAAAGGAAAGGGGAAGAGGGAAGGGAAAGAGAAGTGAGAGAGGGAGGTGAGGAGGAAGGAGGGGGAGAGAGGAAGCGAGTAGGAGGGAAAGGAGAGAGGGTATCCTAGGGGGGAGGAGGAACTGGGGGGTGGGGAGGGGATATAAGAAAAGGGGTGGGGAGAGGAGGTTAAAGGGGTTGACGGAGGTGAAGTGGAAGGGGGAATTCCAGAGTAATAGGGGTGAGTGAGCGGACTGAGGAGGAGGGAGGAGATGGGTGGGGGAGGAAGGCATGACAGCTGGAGATCTCACCCTTCAAGTACTTTTGTCATTTTATGGCTAGTTGCCTGCCAGCATGACACGGTCCGTAAGGGAGAGTTATTTTTAAGATTTGTTTTTAAAAATATCAGAGATTTTCCGTCTATGACACTGATATTAAGTATCTTTTGTTTTTTCTTCTTTCTTTCTTTCTTCTCTCTTTTCATTTCTATGACACTGAAATATACCTTTTTTCTTCTTCTTTACTCTCTCTCTCTTTTCTCTCTTTTAGCGATTCAATCTAGATTGTAAATCTGCATGCTGGATTTTTATTTTGATATCTTATGCGTACTAATATTCTCATATAATTCAACTCCTATCTTATTTACTATTTACAACTTATTTACAACTCCTATCTATATGCTGATATTATCGCAATTATAAATAAAACAATATAGGTTGATTTAATTCACAACAAAATAATAGTGATGGGAGCTCAACCTGGTGTTCATATTGTCAACTATAAACCGGAAAATATTAAACCTTCTAATATGGTAATTTTGGCTTAAATTTCCTTGAGTCTTAAATATGAGAGTCAAGGAAATATTCATTATCCAATTCCATATTTTTGCTTGTTTGTTTGCTCTGAGTTTTTGCAAATTTTTTTGTTTGTTTCTCTCTTAGTGTTTGCAATTTTTGTTTGTTTGTTTGTTTTCTCTTAGTTTCGCGGTGTTTATTTTCGTTTGTTTGTTATCTCTCGGCTTTTGCATTTTTTTTATTTGTTCGATTGTTATCGCTTAGTTTTTGCAGTGGTTGTTTTTGTTTGTTTGTTTTGCCTTCTTAGTTTTTTTCATTTTTTGTTTGTTTGTTTCTCCTAGTCATTTCATTTTTTATTGTTTGTTGTTTGTGAGCTTTTGAAGTTTATTTTTGTTTGATTTGTTTGTTTTCTCTTAGTTTTGCCAGTGTTTCGTTTGTTTATTGTTTATCCGTGTTTCTCATCGCCAGTCAATCTACTATGACCTCACAAACGACGTTATAAATTCACATTTCAGAAGACTCACTATAACTCGCATTAAGGAAGCTACACCATAGATTTAACAATAAGTGAGTTTTTTAAGCAATTCTAACGCAAGGTTTACATGACCCCTCCCCCTCCCCCATCCCTCATCCCCCACTCGTCAATGCAGACACTCCTCGCTAACAATATACAGTAATTTTCTCTTACTACCTTCTCTCCCTCTCTCTCTCTGTCTTGGTCTTTCGTCTCTTGTCCTCTGTCTCTCTCTGTCTCTGTCTCTGCTGTCTGTCTGTCTCTCTCTCTCTCTCTCTCTCTCTCTCTCTCTCCTCTCTCTCTCTCTGTCTCTCTCCTCTGTCTCTCGTGTCTCTCTGTCTTCTGCTCTCGTCTGTCTCGGTCTTCTCCTCTGTCTCTGTCCTCTCTGTCCGTCTCTGTCTCGTTGTCTCCGTGTCTAATGTCTCTCATCTCTCTCTCTCTCTCCCTCTCTCTCTCTGTCTCGTCTCTCTTCTGTCTCTGTCTCTCCTGTCTCTCTCTGTCTCTGTCTCTTCGTCTCTGATCTCTCTCTCTCCTCTCTCTCGCTCTCTCTCTCTCTACTCTCCTCTCTCTCTCTCTCTCTCTCTCCTCTCTCTCTCCTCTGTCTCTCTCTCTCTCTCTGCTCTCTCTCTCTTTCCCACGCCCTTTTCCCCTTTTCGCCTCTCTTCTCTCCTCTTTCCTTCTTTTCCATCCATTTCTCCCCCTCTCTCTCCTCCTCGTTTATCCCTTTCTCTTCCCCTTCCCCTCTTTCCAATCTCCTTCCCTTCCCGCACCTCCCCTCCCTTTTCCTCCCCACACCCATCTCTCCCTCTTTCCTCTCTCTCTCTTTTTCTCTTCCCTCTCTATCCTCTCTCCCCCCCCCTTCACCCCCTCCCCCTGCCACCCCCTCCCTCCCTCCACCCCCCCCTTCACCCTCTCTCCCTTCCCCTCCTCCACTCCCTCCACCTCCCACCCTCCTCCCTCCCCCTTTCCCCCTCCCCACCTCCCCCTCCCCTTGACAGGTCACAAAGCGTGTTCAATCCCGCGATTTCTTGACAGTTCTCTCGCCCTAATGACATGACATTCGCGTAAAATGAGGTGAGACTTTTTTTTTTTTTTTTTTTTTTTTTTTTTTTATTTTTTTTAAGATACAACTCATTTCATTTTATGTCAATAATTGCGTGTGTTGGGAAGCGGTGGGCGGTTTATGTGAGGTGGCGGCCGGGAGGTGGGGAGGAGGAGGTTATATGAGGTGGCGGTGGGGAGAGGGGGGGGTTGTGAGGTGGGAGTACCTTTTGCAAAGGGTTGTACAGAAGTGTTGTGTGTGTGTCTAAATGCAGGAGCCAACACACACACACACGCACGCACACAAACACACACACACACACAAACACAACACACACACACACACACAACACACAACACACACACACACACACAAACACAACACCAAACACACACACACACACACACACACACACACACACACACACACACAACACCACACACACACACACACACACACACGACACACACACACACAAACACACACACACACAACACACACACACACACACACACACACACACACACACACAGACACACACACACACACACACACGAACTATCCGTGATGATAGTATAATAGTAAATTATATTACATAATGCCAGTTAAAGAGGAGAATGATCGAGAGAGCACCCAGACGGGAAAAAATGATCAGCCAGATACCATGGTAATAGCTAGGAGAG